CCATGGAGATATTTGGCAAATCGGGAGATCTGACTGTATGAGACTCAGGCTACTTTTTGATTTGTTTATTGCATAGTTCAAAAGGCAAAATCATGAATAGGAGTGATAAACTTAACTGATACTATCTCAAAGATATGAGGTGCAATTCAAACCTGAGATGTGTAATAAGATGTAAAATAGATTTCCTCTGGCCTCACTGGGCACAATGTAGCATAAATGAGAATAGAGAGGTCATGAACAAGGCGTACATTAAATTAGTTAAAATATAATCCTCAGTACATACATAGAACAATGTTTTGAAGGTAAAACACCTCTCTTGTACAGCCGTACTTCTGCAAATATAATAAATTCAACAAATTATATGAAATATCTGCTGAGAATTTTTTTTGCAGGAGCAAAATATGAACTGCATTTCATCACAGAATAACTTTAAACAGGTTAACCATTTTCCATGGTAAAATCTATTATTTGAGACTCATTCCATGAGTCCATGTCTAACCTGTTTCTAAAAACATCCATTTTGGATTCCATAGCTTCTTTCTGAGGAACATAGAGCCATACCGTATCTCTGACAATTTTTCTTCTAACTGAAGACTGCACTGAAGTCTAGAAAATCTGTACTGTTGTTCATACCTCACTGGAATACTCTTTTGTGCCTTATATTTATCAATGAATGTCCCAAAAGACAAGCAACTTTCCAAAAGTGCCAAAAAGCAAATCAGTCTAGCACACTGCAGGTTACTATACACATGACAATAGCCTTTATTAGCATAATGTGTTATAATACATTATATAGTGAGTCTCTGAGGTTTAGTAATCCCTGTCAGCAACCAGAATAAATGGAAATAGCTTCCAGGAGATGCAAGGCCTATGAAAAGACTTAGTTTTCAAAAACTAGAAGCATTCAAACTCATACATGCAGCCTCTGAAACAAAAATCTCATGAACAATCTTTCATCACAATCATTTGTGGAAGTCAAATGCCTCAAGTGTACTTAAGAGATTAAAGAGAAATTAAACTCAGCACTAGCAGTTCCATACTTTCCATGCTGAAACAAAGGTTTGGTTCATTCTCTCAGGCTTGGCGACAGCAGAAGTTTTTAATTTTGGCTTTTTAATACGCTTAGATACTGAACTTGTTAGCTGAGAATAGCCAGGTTCCACATAAAAGTAAGCACAGCTCCTTGAGGATAATATCTAAGGCACAAGTGAGAGGGTTTTTTACTTACTTTAATGCACAGCTGGATGGAAAAAACCACTAATATTAGATATGTTGCATGTACAACATAATGCTGCATGGGATGAAGGTGCATCACAATTACTGAAATCCTGAAGGCGTAACTGCCAGGAGCTCAATCCACGCAGACAGGGAAAAGGCATCTCATGCTACACTTTTTGTGCCCTTCCCTTCAGCAATTCCCAATGACATTTAGCAGGGAGACAGTACTAATCTAGCTGGAGCTTTGATCTGCTCTAGTACAGCTGTAATGATTTTCTTACGGTGCTGTGAATTATTGACATATTTAGTAAATTTTTTCAAATTTTACTAGTGTAGAACAATTACCAATATCATAACACTTAAGATCAGTTCAAATTATTAAAACACCTTCAGTAATTCTTAGCTTATTGTTGTTGATACAGAGATAACATCACTATAATAAATACTACTGTCTTTTTACAGGCCTGCTTATTCTCAGTAGCATTCCACTCTCCAGTTTATACCCTCGTTTTTTCCTGTATTTTTAAAGTACTCATCACTGTTCAGTTGAAGTTCTGGTTAAATGATCAAAGGCTTTAACAAAACTATCCTTTAATATCATGCTGCACTCATACCATGAAACAGGAATTCAATCAACTCTGTTACTAGAACTCCACAAGATCATTTCTTACTCCCAAAGCATCAACATGCTTCAGCCTCAGCAGCCAGGTACAGTACTCAACAGCTAAATGCAGTTGCAGCCTGGAGCTGCAGTGCCACTGTGCATGTGCGTTGCTGGCTTCTGCGGAAGCTTTCACTGCTTAGGCTTCGTCTCTTAATTATATTAAATGAAAGTACAGCTGTAACCCTACCCAAGCCATTTATTCTATTTTTAACCTTGCAGACATGCAGAGAAACACAAGGGGGAGGAGAAAACAGTGTTAAATTAAAAGATAGGAAGCGTGCCATAGGTAAATCTATTTCTTTAAATCTTTCCTGATCTGAGTTGCAGGAAGTTAGCAGAATGTATCTCTAATTGTCTGTGCCACAGTCCCAGTTTTCCTGGACTGCTTGCATTATTTCATCTGTTACCATCTTCTCTGGTCTCGTATCAGGCTTCACCTTTTACCAAGGTAATGCCAAACATCCTATAGACCACTGAGAATCACAAAAAAGCTGACTTCATCCTACTTTCAATAAATCTCATCTGTAATAAAATCAGCAGCTGAAATACCTTCCCTCCTTTACATGTTTAGTGTTACTCTTTTCCTGAAGTAGAGCCTGGTTTTTTTTCACTACATTTTAAATTTGTCTTTGAAATAGTATGGAAGCTTCCCAAGTTGCAAGCATCTAGGATTTAAATTGCAGAGGGCTTGTATGATGCAAAGCATTAATTTGTTTTCCTGAGGCTTTGTGTCCTGTGAGTAGCTGCTCATAAGAGGACATGGAGGAATCTCTGAACAAAATGAAACCAGTTATCAATTTTGCAACTAAAAGGTGGGAGCATGCTGAGACAGAAATAGAAGGTCCTTATGGTGCTATGCCTCACCTCCTCAAACTGCTTATTCTTGAGTTTAGCAGTCACTGCTGTCTTTTCCTACCAGCTGCTATGTAAGAAGTGCTCTTTGAAGTCATTTATCAGCACCAACTCTGCGCTGGCTGGGAGGGTGGGTGGGGAATACTGCAGCAACAGTTGAGGAGGAATGACCACATACCTCCTAGGTATAAGTCATTACCTCTCACTGGCTAACTGACCTTCCTCCCAGGGGAGCTGGGTGGAGATTAACTCTGTTCTTATTAAGGCCAGAAGCAAACCTTAACTTCAGAGAGAGCAGGATTAAGGACAATTCCTTTGGTCACTTATTTGCTTGCCTGTCTAACCATGTTCAATACTCTTTCAAGCAGCTGTTGAAGAAGGAAAGGCTGCTTTATTTGCCTTTTGCTAGCAGTGGGCAGACTGCTGTTAGCATACACGTATGGAATCTCGCAGTACCAGTAACTATACTGCTCAGTAGGACACTAATGGCATTGCGCAGTACGATTAAGCAGTATAAAGGTCTTTGCTTTCATGAAAAGAGCAAATTATAGTTGAAGAGTGGACATCTTTGTATGTTATTTTGTTTATTGGACTTTGAAGAAAGATTTGACAAAATATTCCCTGTACTACTGCTTTACAGGTCATTTGCAGTCTGCCTAATGGTGCCTCCAACAGTGAAAGAATTCACTTACAGTTACTTTTTAATAACCGAATTCTCAAGCACACAACCTCCTCTGCTCTGGATTGTCCCCTCTGCTTCAATTGTACCCTGTACAAGTAGGTTGGTAGGGAGAGAGCAGTGCTCAGTTCGTCTTCTGCTCTTACCTTCCTCCACTTACTGTTCTCTGTATAGGTAATGAAGATAGACTGCAAGACAGCATCAGACTAGTCAAGTAAAACATTCAATTTTGAAAAATAAATAGTGGTTTATACCCTAAGAAGTGGAAAAACTGAAGATGAGCCTTTTTGCAGGAAGGTGAAATGTTTTGTTCACCACACAAGTGGTCAGAACGCAAGACCTCCCACAGGCCACTCGGTGACAGGCTTTGGGAAACTAATGCGGTCTGGGTGCTTGTAGGTTGAACAGAAAGGACAATTTCTGGCACATAACCAAAGAATGAGAGTAAAATCCCAGCTGTCTTGGAGGTGGTAGGACTTCAAAGACTAGGTTTAAAAGCCATCTGAACACACAGGCGTGTGACAACTGGATAAAAAGAGAAGAGCTAGATACTAGGATACTAGGTTGTAGGCTGAATTATAACAGAGTTGTTACTGAGTTTTACAGACTGTATTGTACAGCCAATGTGTGTATTTTACCTGGTACACTGGTTTGTAACTTGACAAGAAGAGTGCCAGAGCATTTAAGGTCCCAAGTTTTACACCATTCAGTCAGCTCGCTTCTTTAACATCCACTTTACTACAAGAATAACAGGAAGAAATAATTTTAAAATCAGAAAACCAAATTAAATAACAAAGTAGTTATACTTGAAGGGATGCCAGGTATACCCCTTCTTATGGAGAAAGTCCTGTAAGGGCTGTCAGCACTGTTCTTTAGTGAGTGAACTGAAGCCAGACCTGCCAGCTGCCAACAGCCCCCTCAGCTCAGAAGTCCTGCCTCAGTATTGACAAAAAAATTAAACACTATGTGCTACTGCTGTACCATTTGTAATGGGTTTTTCATGGAAGTTTTCCTTTCATGTGTGGACTAAACAGCACACTCTTCAATGAAAATAACAAGACTTCATGGATTTGTGGCCTGAGGGCACTGTGTCTGCAGGACTGTGCTAACACCTTTGCCTTGCTATCAGGCATATTGCATATAGAGAGTGCGGGCATCAGCAGCACATTTAAACCCCTAGTCCTAGATTTAGATCAGATTTCTGGGTCTTTCAGGACTTCAAATCTTTAGTTACTAAAACATTTGATAATCTGTTTAGGAATATGAATGTCTTAACCAGAGCAAATGCTGTAAAAATCAAGTTCTTACTGTTTTTATAACAATTAGACCATTCAAGTACAACTGTTTGCAGGAATCATAAAAATTCTTTCTATATGCATCAGTCTCATGTGAGGAACATGAAGGGTAGGAATTGCTTCTGAAGCTTACATATATCTGTATTTGAATGCAAGCTAAATATAAATATACAGTATGTATATTTATCATTAGTAGAGTTATCTACTCATCAGTAAGTTAGTCCAGGAGGAACTATCTTTTGCTGTGCTTCCCTTCTGAAACATAAACATTTCTTAATTTAATTTTTCCTAGCTCTGTTTTGTGATGTTTTGGACGCCAAATGTGTCAGAGAAGATTTTAGTTGACATAATTGGAGTAGACTTCGCTTTTGCAGAGCTGTGTGTCGTTCCTTTGCGCATCTTCTCCTTCTTTCCAGTTCCAGGTAAAAAAAAAAAAAAAAAAAAAAAATTTTGTAACCTCAAAACCAAACCAACAGTGAGGTATGGTTATAGGATCTAGCATGGCTATACATACAAGTGTGGCTAAATGCATGCCTAGCATAAGTATTGAAGCTGTTTGTATTGAAGGTGGTGGAGACCTAGCCTATTTACATTAGTAGTCAAGATACAAATCTTGCAGTAAGAGCATCAGTCATTGGGCAGATTTCTGACTGTCAAAAGTAAAGCTTGAATTCTTTCTATTGTAGTTGACCAGGAACAAATACGTGAATGGCAGTAGTGATACATGAGAGCCAAGACTGAGAGTAACTGTTTGGAATAGCATCTAGGACCACCTCCACATTAACATCATCTCCATTAGTCTCCACTTCTGCTACCAGACCCAGTGGCTTTTTCAGATACAGAGCATAAACAATATATAATAAAAGTTAATACTCTTATCAAAGAGCAAAACAAGCTTGACAGCAATAATTGAAATGTTTCTCCTCAAAAAATTTCTAGCTCTGTAATTAAATGCGACATCATGTGTTGTTTTCTGCTTATATGACAAGACCGTTTTGTAATAAAGGTAAGCTACAAATATAAGAATAGGTACATGTAGATATCTTTTTTCTTGCCTGACTGTTACACCATGTACCACAACAGATGGAAAATTTTCTTTGATGTGACTTCTCTTTAGGGAAGGGGATATTTTTTTTTTAAATGAAGAAAAAGAATGGACCATCTATTAAATGGATTATAAGAGAGCAGCTCTTGGATTGCTGTCCATAAGTGCCTTTTTTTGTTTGTTTCTTTGTTTTCCCCAAATCAGTATATTAAAGCAATTTGGATACAAGATCTACTTCCTTTCTAATAGGGTTTCCCAGTGTGCAAAGTTACCAACAACAAGTTTCACAGTGATTATTTCTGATTTGAATTTTCATGCTGTATGCATGAAAGAGGTGCATATGAGATGACTGACTTTTTTTTTTTTTTTGCTACTCTTGCCTCCTTTTCTCCTCACCTCCTCCCCTTCCCCTGTTTCTGAACAGTGACTGTCAGAGCGCACTTGACTGGTTGGCTGATGACTCTGAAGAAGACATTTGTGTTGGCACCCAGCTCAGTGCTGCGGATTATCGTCCTCATCACTAGTCTCATCGTACTGCCTTACTTAGGGTAAATCATTATTTTTCACAAAACTGATGGGTTTGTGTTCCTCTTCATTCCTGTTCCCTGTCACTTTATAGCTGAATTTGCATAGCTCAGACTTTTTTCCCCAAGTACTAACCATGATATAAAGGCTAAAGTGTCAATTTCTGAAAAAAGAAGCTTTACAGATTTACAAGTGTGACTGCTCTGGGCAGGTGCAGTACTTATGTCCCCTTTGAAAAATATACGCAAATATCAGAGGCAAAAACGTATCCTAAGGGGAATTTATTTCCATGTTGTTAAATGCATTGTTAAGAAAAGCAATGGAGGAATATCTTGTTTATGAGTTAAATAATCTATTCTACAGCACTCTGTACAAGACTTAAATTCTTAGTCCATAAGTAGATTCAGCGTGCTTCTAGTACTAAACAGTGTAGCCATTAAGAACAAACAAGTCCTTTAAAATGCCAGTTATTCTCTTTGCCAATGTATTATATCTTTGAAGAAAATATTTCTAACAACAGACTGGTTCTATATGCCAGTGAAAATATAATTACAAATCATGTATTCTAACACTACCATGACTGCTTTCTTTTTATGCCACCTACAGAGTTCATGGAGCCACTCTTGGAGTAGGATCCCTTCTAGCTGGTTTTGTAGGAGAATCCACCATGGTTGCAATAGCAGCCTGTTATGTCTATCGGAAACAGGTAAGAATTTGCCTCTACAGGATCTGGTGAAAGCAGTTGATGAATATAGTGGATTTTAGTTCAGATTAGGAGTACACTTTTGAAATGTAACTCACCGGCATCCCCACTTACTGAACTTGGTTTGCTTCCCTGTTTGGTCTCAGGAGTGTGCAACTTGGAAATTCTTTGAGATGAAATAAAACCAAAAGGTGCCCTCCAGCTGCTAGTGATCATTCAGGCCATGGGACATGCTGGTCTGATGTGATCCTCTTGTTCCTCAAAACACATGTATGTATCATGGGTAGCATGTCCTTACCACCACCTGTGTTGCACTGTATATCTACTACTACAATACAACATAGCATTTCTATGTAGACATGGAAACTACTCATCCAAGCTTCTTATTGTATATGTGTATATATATATATATAATCATAGAATCACAGAATCACAGAATGATAGAATGCTTTGGGTTGGAAGGGACCTTAAAGTTCCAACTAGTTCTAACTCCCCTGCCATGGGATGTGTTACGTGGTGTATACATATATATCTCTATGTGTACTTCTATTTCATTATAAAAACAACTCTGCTGAAAATGGACAAAAAGTACAGTTGCTTATGTACTTTTGCCATCTAGAGAAGTGATTTAAAACAAGATATACTCCTGCAGCAGTTGATAATAACAGCTTACAAATAATTAAACGGGAGGTTTTCTCCCTGGCATATTTTTATATTTTTCACACACTACAACCCTGCATGTACAGAGTAGTAGTGATACATGGATTTCAAAGAATATTCCACTAAATTACGTTCAAACGCAGGATAAATATTGTCTGGGTGACTGGGTACATCACAGTGCCTGCATGTTGTGTCCTTCCAGTTACGTATTCAAGGCACTGTGTAGGGCACCAGGTCTGACTCTGGGCAGAAATAGCACGGTTGTGTACATCATTCCATAGTACACCTCTGTGGGTGAAAGCAGAAGATGTAATCTATGCAGTGAATGTTTCTTTTTTTAATTAGACATCTTATGAAGTGCCAAATGGAGATATCCACCACTCCTGTTTTTGGAAAAAAGTACAGAAGATGGAATATCTAAAAGCCTTATATTGGAACAACGTAAAATCAGTTTTGATATGTATTAACAGTGGCAGCAGATCAAAATGTCAAGGTTCATAAGACAGTAGAAGAATCATGATCTCTGTCATGATTAGTCTGTCATGTTTTTCTTGAGAACCAAAGAGTAAAACCTGTAGACTCTGAAATGGCCTGTTCTTGGCCTGTGGTTTCACAAAATTGGACTAATGTCCTCATTGCTTGTTTGTTACAGTCATAGCTCATAGAGTGTTTCTGACTAGGTGCTTCATTTTTTGCAGTGGTGAGTGGAGGTAGTAGTAGTAATAACTGTGCCAACCTAATTTATTCAGTGTGACAGTGGCAGAGCCAACCGGTAGCTCTATGCACCAAGTTGCTTTCACCTGCAGTTTGAGAGCTGCAAATCAAGTGTTTTGTAGGCACCTCTGAATTTTTGAATCAATAATACCTGTGGGGGGGATATTTTGTCAGCTGTCCAATTGTTTTCTGTAAAACTAGTCAGCCTGCTGAGAAATGGGTAATAAGGAACAGATGCTTCAACTTGTTTTGTAGGGGGTTGAACGCTTCTTAGCTTTACTAATCCAGGACATCCTGGATGAATCACAGGACTCTTGAATGACCTCTTGCTCCTGCTAGCCAAAAATACTCTAATATTACTTGGCCTTGGTTGGGTGGAGGATCACAGTGGACTGGCAGTACCAAGAAAAGCCAGAATGTTCGCATCTTGTAAAATGCCTGAAGTTTGACATTTGAGAAATTAGGTTGCCACCTCTGTTTCACTCCCTAGAGCAGCTTTTGTTCTCCCATATTTTGTTGGTTTGGGGGTTTTTTTGTTTGTTTGTGGGTTTTTTTGTTTGTTGTTTGTTTTGGGTTTTGTTTTGTTTTGTTTTGGGTTTTTTTGGGTTTTGGTTTTTTAATAAAAAGTCTGTGAGGTAAAAGATTCCAGATGCTCTCTTCCCTCCAGTCATGGCTGAAGCCTGTCTTGGATGTTGCTTAGCATAAGAAAGCTTCTATGATTGCATTTATGTTAGAAAGGAGAAAACTAAGACCCCGAAAGGTTATGAAAATCTTCTGAGTTAATCCAAGTTATTAGTGACAAGCCACAAATATGACACAAATATTCTAATTTTTACTAAAATACTCTAAACAAACCAGGTGCAGAAAGTTCATTGGAGTGTGTTCATGCACAACTTACTGATAGGTGTCTGAATGCTTGTTTCAATCTAGAAAAAGAAGAGGAATGAGAATGAGACAGCTGTAGAAGGTGAAGACTCTGCAATGACCGACATGCCTCACACGGAGGAAATGACAGACATCGTAGAAATGAGAGAAGAGAATGAATAATAAATGGGATGCAATTGTTCTCTGCAGGGACGATTGGAGTGACACTTCAGCATCTTGTCGTCTCTCATACTTTTTCGTTTGTTCATTTTTATTTTTGTAATAAAGAGGCCTTGATTTAAAAGGTTTCAGATAAATTCTCTAGCATACTGAGTATGCTCTCACTGATGAGGGACCTAAAAAGAGGTCTTTGCTTCTTTATTTTTTTTTTCCAATTGAATTTGTTTTCTCACTCCATGCAAACATAAAAGATACAATTGCATCACTGTAGAGTCTTCCTTACTTATGCATCTACCTTCTCTGGACAATCTGCATTTGTCAACCAAAGCCCTGCTCTCTGTGCATGTGTGTGTGTGCGTGTGTGTGGGCATGCACTTGCACGCTCACACGTGCACACTGGCACGTGCCACTGGCTCAATGCTACTGCCATAATCCTTCTCCCTCCCCTCTTTCCTTTTCCTTCCTTTTCTTCATGAGAAATGTAAAGGAAAAGAAGTTGGAATACAGAGCTTTATTTTACTTGCTTGAAAATGACTTTGCTACATAAACTAATATACTATGGTGAACTATATCTTTTTGTTTGGCCTCGTCACTAGAGCTTATACTGCACAGGGTAAAAGACAGGGAGGAACATGTAAGTCTCCACATACAATGTGGAGAAAAACAGATTCCTCTCTCGTATTAAAAGTGTGTGGATGTATATATACACACACAGGTACATAAACAGAGACATACATACATATATATTTATATATGTATGTATGTATATGATAAATAAAGTACACACAGGACAAGAACTCTATTTAGCTTTCATTCCAGCAGAAAGATAATAATCTTTTGAAAAATGTAAACGTTTAATTCAGAATTTTCTTGAATCATTAAGCCCCACCTTGCATATAATTTTCTTTAGGGAAAAAAAGCAGGCACTATCCTCTTCTGAAGAGGGTGATGGCAACTGATAAACTACAACTGTATTTAAATTAAACAAAAATAAATATTGATAAGCTTTACCAAAGTTCTTGTCCACTGATCTAACTTTAATTTTTAAAGGTTGATTTGCTCTATATACTTATTTCTGGTGCCTCTATATTAAAAAAAAAACAAACATAACATATGCAGGATACCATGGTATATCACGTTACTACACATAGCTCGATGAAATTTTTTATATAGAGATACACATAATCACGTGTGTGCATATGTATATATACTTATATACACATGGCACACACACTCATATGTATGTTTTGCTATAATATATTTACCTATGCAGTAGGTCAAAATCCGTATGGTGAATCTCAAGTACTGGTGGTCCTCCAAGTTGATAATTAGGGACTTTGTTTATATGTTTGCTCTCAAGGCAAGCATTATGTGGGAGCTGGGAGCTGCTCACACCAGTCCTCCAGTGCTGTGCACGGAGCAGGCGGCGGGCGCTGTGTGGCTGTGGCTGAAGTGGGTTAAATAACAGAGCGTGAGGTCGGGTGGGTGATTCAAGTCGGGTGGAAATGAAGCCTGTGTAAGAGATGACCAGGGAGGTTTTGGGTGCCACTGATGATGGCTGCGGCAGCAGCTTGTATTTCTGTGCTCTTCTGTGTTTGGCTGCAGGGCAGCGTTCATTACCGGTCTGTAGTACCTTGGGTTCTTTCAGATTTAATCACGTCAGAGTCTGGAAACCATTATCCTCCATCCTATATCCATAAACCAGTTAATTTAAACCTTATTTAGTAAAAGTATATTTTTCTAAGTTGTGGAAATTATTATTTAATTGTGGACAAATTCCTAGATTTATTTGCCAGGTAGTCCCAGCACTCAGAGAACTGATCAAAACTAAACATTACTTTAAATGTTTTATCAATATATGTGTATGTAGACATACACATGTGTATAAATATATATATATTGTATATTATGTACATTTATTTTAAACTACAATACGTTTCCTATTTTTCCAAGTTCAGCTAAAAATGTCTCTACAAAACTACAGAGTTGACTAGTAACCAGTTATGGCCATCATGAAAGGCATTGTATCAATGAACTTTACATTTTATCGGAAACATTTGTACCAATTTGTTACATGTGCAAATGCAATAAGAAAAAAAGGTAGAAATTACTGTGTTAACTAACAGATTTGCAACATCACTTCTCAGTTAATGAGCAGTGGCACTAGGATGGTAAGATTAAATCCATTTACCACGTTTTTCTGTGCCACCATGGGGTAAATCCTGGTTTTGACAGTAGTTTAAAACAAAATTTAAAAAAAAACCCTCAGACAAAGTTATGTGTGCAGTATGTAGTCTGTGCACATTCATGAATACAGGTTCTCAAACAATCATATGTATATAATGTGTATATAGACTGTTACAGATCACAGTGGCCATTTGAGGTCTCCTCTATTCACGTAGTTTTGGTTTCTCCAGTACATTTGTATCCAAGTCCACAAGATACAGTTTTTCAGGAACTGTAGAGATGAAGCAAGAAAATATTTTTGTGTAATATTTCTTTGGTACATGACTAAAATTCAAACAGCAGTATTTTTGAAAAATGTTGAGCATTACCAATGTAGGTTTCAAGATAGTAATTGCACCAAAAAGTAAAAAATTGAAAACAAATTAAAGGAAAACATGGAGGCTTGTGCTTTACATAAAAGTTGAACAAACACAAAAGTTGAATTATTGGTCACACAGAGATAAACTAATGGTATTGTAAAAGATAAATTTTCAATTGTATGGGTAATACTTACTAGTCCTTTATTTTGCAAGATACTGAATGAGCACAGGAGTGGTGGGATTTGTGTGAGAATTTAAGCAGTGACATAAAGACACGTGCATTGCATCGCTTTCTGCTTCCTGCAGGTCATGTATTTCTTTTCGTTGCTCTGCTGGATTAACAAAATGTGATGACGTTTCTGCAGCGAGTGATTCCAAGCCAGCCCCTCATGCTGGTTCAGGTGCTCGCTGGGGGACAGGCAGGGTTCTCAGCAGGAAGAGGTATGTCCAGGTTACTATTCCTCTGTCCCTTGCAGGCACTGGTTATGCTTCTGGGTACTGTTGGCAGGAGCTTCAGTGACCACTTGAAATGTTGCTGCTCCAGCTCCCAGTCAGTGGCAAATTAGCTGGACTGGTGAAACAGCCAGTCTGATGAGTTACAGGCTGGGAGTGGGCAGCCATCCTCTATGGCCAAAGCCCCAGTCAGAGCATTACTGATTCGAGTATCTCAGGCAGATGCTGGTACATACCCTGTTCTGCACCTTTTCCTTTGACTTCCCTGAGTTCTAGTAAAATGGCTTAGCTGTCTCTGTCTTGTGCTGTTGCTTATGAAATGGCTATCTATCTCTGTGGTAATTATTTTACAATAGAAACATGTTATGTTTCTGTGTCAGAGAGCTGGAGCGCAGTCATCTCTGTGAATTCATGTGGAGACTTGGCCTTTCCAGACTGAATTATACAATCAAAGTTACAATAAAAAGAGGAAAAATGTTGATCTTCATCCTACATCTCATGTTGCAGAACAATTTGCACAGTGGGAAATAAGAGCAGAACACTGATAAGCTGTGGATTAACGTTCCTCGGCTTTTAATACATTTGCAAAATTGTGTTAACTTGTCTTGAGCTTTCCTTTTTCAGAATTAACAGGAAACACTCCAGGTTTTTCCCTCACTGCTTTAAGCAGGCTCTCATGCTTACCAAGCCATGGACTCGATGGACAAAGCTCTGCATTTCTCAGCCAGTGCCTGAGGCCACTTGGGTGCACCAGTGGGTTCCCAAGGCATGGAGCAGTCCTGCTCCCCATCCCCCTGGCGCAGCCATTCCAGGCAGGAGGGCTCAGTTCCCTGCTTGTTAGATAGAGCCACCCTGAGTGAGAGGATTGGGTAAGTAACAGAGAAGTCTTTTGTTTTCTACTCATTTTGCTGCTAAATATTTCTTTTGAGCAGGAGATTTATATCTGGCTCTCGCTTAGTGTTTCGCCAAATCTGCAGCCAGAGAGGAGCAGCCTGAGACGGAGGGTTAGCTGATGAATGCAGCTGATTCAGGGCAGGCCACAGCACATGAACAGAAACCTTTTGAAGGCAGGAGTGCCTGCTTTTGTGGGATGGCGCCTCATGCTTAAAAAGACGGGAGAAAGGATGCTTTCAGGCCCAGGCACCAGAATTGTCAGGCATACTTTCGTGTTGGGCTGCAAGGTGGCAACGGGAATCGAGCATCCTGCAGCTCGAGCATCCCAACCCCACTGCCAGCATCCTCAGTGAAGTGTGGGACAGTGTAGAGAATGGCGTGGCAGCAGTATTGGCTCTGTCTCTCACTGAGGTTTTGTCGTTGTGGCACGGTTGGCACAGGGTTGAGTGCAGCTGGTTGTTACCTGAGGATAATTGCAGGATTAGTCTACTTGAAGGCCATGCATACGTATATAAGTGTGTATACGAGAGTGTTGCACAGGCATTTTTATTACAACCTCTGTATAGTTCATTGGAACAAGGAAGTCTAAACACAAACAAGTCTAAACATGATTTTAATGTGGGACTAGTACTAAGCCATTTTTAAAAACTGCAGTTTGAAGCTACATAAAAGAGTAAATAAAACAGCAGACCTATACCAGTAAGATAAAGCATGATTTAGATCAGTAAGCTGGAATGGGAGAGAAAGAGGACATGTTGAAAATCTTATGGGTAATGTATACCCATCCTGAATACAATAGCATGGTGTGGATATGAGGGAATCAAAGGGCAGAAAACACCAGAGCTGTGGCTGCTGCCATTTCCCTTTCAGTTGCCCTATAGAGGGACTGAAGGATGAGGAAGTGTGTCCATGAAACACCACTTCTAAGTATTTTGGTTTCCAAGTGAAAGACTCTTCAGAGAGAAGAGTATGAAACATCTTAAGATGATTCAAGCAGAAATAAACCAGCATGCAGGTTTTATAATGTGTAGCGAGGAGGCACTACATAGTTTCCTGTTTTTGAGTAACTGACAGGTTTGAATTAAGGAAACATCACATAAATATTAAACACAAGACAAAATTATCCCAATTTTGGTATCAAATTGGCATTTCTCAAATACCAGCTAAACCATAATATGTTAGGATTCCTTTCTCCCATTCATGTTTGGTTTTTTACTAGAATTCAACTGCAGCAAGCCATCTTTTTTTGAGGGAGCAAGCTCCTGTGGAGGGGATACAGTGCAGAGCAGGCTGTGGGGGCTTGTGGCAGAGTACCAGGTGGAATGAAGAACTCCCGATTTATTCTGTGCTCTGCAACACACTGTATATCAGCCTGACAGCATCATGAAACAAGGCAGAATTGTCAGCTTAGCAGCAAACTTGGTCCAAGTGTGGTCGCAAGCTGTGGCAGCCCTGCAGAGCAGCAGAAGGGCATGGGATGCAGGGTAGCCCTGGCTCCGAGCTCAGGCTCAGACAGCCTGTGTGGATTTTCTTTGGAGAGCCAAGTTCAATTGTCAGTGCATAGATGCAATCCTCAGCAAAACCATTGCCAGACTTCTCAGTAATTGGCACCTTCTGAACAAAAAGGCTAAAGACAAATATGAGGGCAGAGCTTTAAGCTCAGCTTGGAGCGTGGACT